ACAACCTATTGAACATATTGAAAGAGGCAAGTTAATGGCTGCATATAGTAAAATAAACTCCCATGCTGAAAACTCACCATTAAAAACCATTAACGAGGACTACTCATTTCCAGATTTTAAACCTAATAGCCCATGGAACAAACACCATATCTTCCACGTTCCCGTTCTATTATGTTTATAAGGAATTCGGGGCTGTTATTCTGTATACACTTATCTACCTTGATGTAACCCAACATTGAAACTTCTTACAAGAACCACAAACGACAATTGCTGTTAAAAGGTTATAAAAGCGCATAAATCCCAACCCTAATTTCAAATATAAAATACCAGCCATAATTCCAGTTGCCCAATAAAAATTACCCAGAAGGTATTCTTGCTCCTATACTATATTTGAGGCATCACAGTGAGGAAAGAATAAAATTCCTACCCCCACCAAAAGAATACTGCGACCTAACCCCAATAGTCACAATAGCACCAAAATTATACTCCTAAATTTTATAATAAAACAAATGATCATGTAGTTCTTCACAAAATTTGCTTATTCGGCCTAATCTTGCAAATAAACAGCCCATCAAATTCAAGAATTACTAGAGCAGAGCAAACAAATTCTCAGTAATTCACACGTGGTATTCACAAGATATCCACAACAAATAAATCGAGAAAAGCTTATTAACCAAGCAACTAAATTACAGAGAAGACACATACCGATTCAAGGCGCGAGATTTCGGTGGAAATCGAGTCGGTGACCAAAACCTCACGGAGGATGGAAGTCGACGGAGACTTAACGTCGATCGGATAGTTCTGTTCTTTGCCGGCGCGGACGTGACACTTCATGTCCAAACCCGCCGGTAAACTCTGCTGGCAAATAACCTCGGCTTCTGCAACCATTTTTGGACTGACAATCATCTTGGAATAGCACCCAGTTTTTCTGTACTCGAATCTTGAGTAACGAAACCGGAGTTCCCAATATATCGAAACTGGATGAATTAGGGCTTCTGAATATGGGGTGGGGGAGGGGGGAAGTAGAAGTAGAATGATAAACAAGAAGTATTGGGTGAATTAGGGTTTGTTTGTGCCTCTGTGAATTTCTGCGAGAAAGTGAAAGCGAAGATGGAGAGAAAGATTAGTAATGCTTTGAAGCTAATCCGATATAGTCGTATAAATATGGTGTATCACACGGTAGCGTCCTGACGGCGTCCAAGTAGCGGCTACGTGGACGCCACCTCCACGCTTCTATTTTATTTGCCTTTTTCTTAACACTTTTATTTTACCCCCCTCACGCCCGTGCCGTTCGGTTAATTATCTTAATCTAAAGATTAATTTAGTAAATAATCAGAATTTAGCATCCTTAATTCGATATTAACGATACTAAATTATAAATAAAAAACAATTTCCATACATGTTGACTTTGGAGTATTCCTGGAAAGTTGACTGCATGCCCAATTTATTATTACCCCTTTGTCGGCAGCTTTGTTATAAAGTCTCTTCTATACCAACCATTGAAATAATTATTATAAAAATATATACATATATATTAAGAAACCTACTTAGGGACAATAAAAATCTCTTATTAATTTAATTAAAATATAAATTATACACATATATATAACTAAATCATTCACTATATAAATAAAAAAAAAAAACGTACAATTGTCAACCATATTAGATATTAATTTGTTATTATTATTATAATTAAAAAAATTTAATCGTGATAAAATATTTATTTTATTAAAATTATTATAATTTATTAAGATAAATCAAATATTATTAATATGTTACCGTTAAAGCATACAATCACGTAAAATTTTCTACTAGTAAATTGGTCTATTAAATCTCGTATTACTCTTTTTTATTTTTTAATAAAATATGATAACGACGATATCTGTATAGTAAATTTTATATTATTAATGAAATTTAAATTTATATAATTAACGATGAAGTGATTATAATCTTAATTATTTTACTAGTGGTGCATGTTTTATACGAGACATATATATATATATATTATATATATAATCGTAAAGAATCAATTAAAAAAATTTCATTCCTACTCCTTTTGCCTCTATAAGAAGCATGATATTTGTATAGAATTAAAACTAACCTTTAATTTAATTACAATGAATTGCCATTGTAATTATTTATTTATTTATTTATTTTTTATAGAAACGTGCTTTTTACTTTTCTCTTCCAAGAAACGTGTCTTAGACTCTTACCTAAGACACGTGTCCTTTTTTTTTTTTTTAAATAATTTTATATTTCAAAGTAATTAAATTTTTTATATTTTAATTTAATTAATTAATGGTAGATATAAACAATTAAGGTCGTGGAATTCGCTAGTGGGTGTGACGAGGCTGCCATTTATATTTATGATTACAACCTTAGAGTAAAAATTATTTTATTTTATTTTATTTAATCTAAAGTTGTGAAGGATAAAATTTTAAATTTTAAATAATATTTTATATTTAATATAAATTAAATATTTTTATAATTTTTTTTTATTAATAAATGGAAAAAGATAAATTTATATTATATTAAATAACCTACACTTATTAGCGGTAAAAGTAATTATTATTATTTGTTTACTTGTAATAAAAAAGTCAAAAAATATTTTTACCTTAAATTGTATATATGGTTTTCTAGTGTCCACTACATAATTATTAATAATTATGGATTAAGTCAAATTGTAATTAATAGGAAGATAATAATTTATATATTTAAATATATTTTCATGTATATATCATGTGAATTAAATATATATATATATACATACACTAAGATTTAGATATAATTACAAATAGATCCATAAATACCAGGTATGGAGTGAGCTTCATTTTGACAAGCCAACCTTTCTCTTCGTCTGCAAAATGAACCTTTGTGTTCTTCCTGCACCCAAATGCCTCACGAGTCCAGCCATTCTTGCTTCACCTCATTCTTTTTTTTTTTTTTTCTTCTGGGTATCTAGATTTAGTTTCAGCACTGAGGTTGGCTCAGTATTTGTATCTGGGTGCCTCTGCCCTGGATTTGAGATCTTTTAGAGCTTTCTGGTAGTAGACCATAACTGGATCAATGGAAATGGTAAGATTTTCATTTTGTTTTTCGTTTGTTATTAAAATAAGCTACTCATTTTGCAATATTCATGTTTCAAATCAGTGATCTTTCTTTGCTAGGAACCCCGACCAATCCAGTGATTTCTGAAGTTCTTCAAGTAGGGAAACTAGTTTGTATGGTGTAGTTGAGCTTGTGCTTTCCTAGGCAAAAAAGGATTTTTTTTGGCCTTGGGTCTGTAAATTCTGCTAAACTATGAACTTTCTGGGTTTATTTTCTGCTTCAATTAGTTGATACTTCATCACGAGTTTATGAGTTAACTCTGCGTCTATATATATTCTTGGGGTTGGTTGCAAAGAGAACAAGGGGCTTACGGTTTGTTTAAGCCTCCTTTTTAGACCTCAGAAATGGTATTCTGGGTTTTCCTCCCAACTAACTGTCTGTATAAAGAAGTACTTGAAGTACTTCTTTTGGGTCTACTTGATTTTTGGATCTTTTCCACATGTGCCATCTTTTGTCTTGTCTTCAAGCATAGCTGCTTCCAGTGTACACTTGCTTTGTGCCTGTATTTTGCTCCAACTAACGATCTACCTGTTTATTATACAATTGCAGAAGTTTTGGATTTGGAGTAGCAAATGGAGATTGCAGTAGATGTTCATAACAGTTAATGTTCCGTGCTATTACTATACATTTACTCAAATTCATTGGTTGTGAAGAGGCTGTCAAGATTTGTCTTGGAATATATATCTATGGCCAAGTTTAAAATGCTTTTTACCTCATTCAGAATGAAGAGGTGGTCTGGTGGGATGTTGATTATGGCTCTTGCTGTGATCTTAATTTCCGTTACAGCTTAATAGCTGCCCAGCCGCAAAAGGAAAGAAACCAACCACAAAAGCACCGTGCATATGATTTCTTTAGGAACCATCCAGCAAATGATTCTCGCACAAAGAGCAGCATTTCTGTTAAATCTCCTAAGATGGAAGTCAAGAAAATGCAAAAACCAGTGAAGAAGCCGCATCTTATAAATGTTGATGGCCTTGATGATCTGTTTGCTCCTAGAAATGTTTCTGAAGAAGAGTCAAATTCCTTGCTTGTTTGGACTCATATGCGTTTTCTACTTTCAAGGTCTG